GGTTTGAAAGAGGCACCTTTCTTCATCATCAATATGTACTTAGAGTATTGGCATAATATCCAGGAGCACAGGAAAAGATTTTCAAAAAAATTCATGCGTTTTCACTATGTAATCATTAGAGCCCCACCCTAATACATGTACCAATACTCCTGATCCCGGGGCTCTGAAATTCACAAATTTGGAAGACGCATCCTTCCTCATCATAATTATGTACAGTGTTCATTGGTTTAATACCCAGGAGCAGATGAGAAGATTTTCAAAGAATTAATGCATTTTCACTATATAATCATTAGAGCCCCATCCTAACACCAATAGTTATACCCCTGACCGTTGGGCCATGAAATTCACAATTTTGAAAGATGCACTTTTATTGAACATAACTATGTAATTGCTCAGTTTATTTCATACCCAGGAGCAGAGAAGATTTTTAAAGAATTAATGTATTTTCACTATATATATAATCAATAGCACTCACCCTAAGCTCAGAACCCCCAACCCAGGGGCCATGAAATTCACAATTTTGAAGAGCCATTCTTGCTAATCATAACTATGATGTTGCATTTGGTTTGTTTATTAAGCACCCAGGTGCAAAGAAAGATTTTCAAAGAAATCATGCATTTTCACTATATAATCTTTGTAGCCCTGCCTTAGCACCTAAGAACCCCTGACCCTGGATCCATGAAATTCAAAATTTTGGAAGAGGCAGTCATAATCAACATAACTATGTATTTGGTTAGTTTATTTAATTCCTAGGAGCAGAGAAGATTTTTCAAAGAAATAATGCATTTTCACAATATAATCTTTATAGAACGCCCTAGCACTAGAACCCCTGACTCTGGGGCCATGAATTTTACAATTTTAGTAGAGGACCCAATGCTGATTACTATCATGCCAACAGTTTTACTGCTTGATGTCCAAGAGTAAAGAATAAGATTTTCAAAGATTGCATTAATTATATTAAAGATTGCATTAATTATAGTGGTTTTGGCCCCGCCCCTCAGGCCCCAAGGGGCAGGGACCATGAAATTCACATTTTTTTTCCCTTTACCCATAGATGCTTTGTACTTAATTTGGTTGAGCGGTTGCAGAGAAGAAGCTGAAAATGTTCAAATGTTAACACACGACGAGCGGTTGCAGAGAAGAAGCTGAAAATGTTCAAATGTTAACACACGACGACGGACGAAAACAGAGAGCAATAGGTTCACCTGAGTTTATTCAGGTGACCTAATAAGGAAGGACTTACAAGTTACATTAATACTGTACAATAAAAAAGGAACATGTGTAGATTGATTGATCATAAGATATAACGCACTATTTCAGAATTTTTTACTCATGAAGAGACTCCACCATATGCCAGTGAAGAGCTACAAATTTTGACCTTTTCTAGGCACTCAGGGCCATTGAGCAGTGGGGGATCTTTATCGTGCCGTGACACGGAGTCTCGGTTTTTTAACGACTAAGTTCAGTCGCAGTCTGTGAGCAAATGCTTGCTTGTCAAACCCCCGCGGCGACGTTAGAGGGACGTTAAACAACATACACTCAATCAATCATACCCCGTTCTGATTTGAATTTACACTATCATGTTGAAGTTCAGTTACAGGCAGATGCACGGATTAATAGAAAGTTAATTGACATTCGATTTGTTCAGAAATAAATTCCATCACATTGTATGCCTCAACAAAGTATGTGCTAAAATTTCAAGCATCTGTGATGAGGAGTTGCTGCAAAAACTGCGAAGAAAATTTGTTATGCCTGTGACATTATCTGTATCTAAGAACAGTAACTCTTATACTGCTGTTATTTGTAAATGTCAAAATAGAGTTATCTTTCCTTGTTATTCATGATGATGCTGCACGTGATATAATAAACTAGTTCTCATCGCCATCTTGAGTCTGTTTGTGCCACATGGTGTCAGAAGAAAAAAATCTTGAAAATGGATCGGTTACCGCCGCCACCCGGACTTAACCTTACTGGAAACTTAGCGGAGAACTGGAGAAGATTCGAACAGCAGTACGATGTTTACGCTGTAGCAAGCGGTGTCGCAAGCACAGGAGACAAAGTCCAGGGGGTGACCCTACTCCACGTGTTGGGACCTGACGCCATTGATGTTTATAACACATTCACGTGGACGGGAGACGAACGATAAGACTAAGGTAGCAGATATCAAAAAGAAATTTAAGGAATACTGCAATTCTAGGAAAAATGTAACCTATGAGAGACACAGTTTTAATACTGTAAATCACTTTTTATTTGCGAAAACTTTATTTTCGCGTAATTACGCGAGACAATGTGTTCGCGAAAATTTATTTCTCGCGTATAAAAGTATTCCTTACGATTATATAGAATAATAACAACTATTCGTGAAAATTATGTCTCGCTTACAAAGAGTCAATGACAATCTCGCTAAAATAAGGTGTCGCGAAAATTTAGTGATCTACAGTACACAAAATCAGAAGGAGGGAGAACCGGTTGACGCATTTGTGACTGAACTCAAACAAAAGGCAAGTGTATGTGAATTTGGTGAACTGAGAGATTCTTTAATAAGAGATCGAATCGTTTGTGGAATTCGAAGTGATACTGTGGAAGCCAGATTATTACGAGAACGAGAACTCACACTGCAGAGTGCCATAGACATTTGTAGGGCAGCGGAAGTGTCAGAATCGCAGCTCCGAGAAATGGGAGACGAGAAAAACGTTCACGCAGTCAGAGACAAGAAACAGAGATACAAACAGAAGGATGCGCAACCCCAACATAAAGGTCAGTGTAAATACTGTGGATTAGATCATCCTAAGGGGCCAGATCATTGTCCAGCTTACGGAAAATCATGTAATACTATTGTTTGCAGCTAACTGTAAAGTTTCACATTACTTCACGATCTTTTTCGTCAGATGCATCCAGCGTAAACAATTCACGTGATTGGTCGACTCAAATTATCAACATTGACACGGAAATAGTTTGTTGCTCGAGCAACCAATCAGGGATAAGAAGAAAGTTCCAGTCGTAAAGCTTGCGGTTAGGAGGTGTGTACAATTTACCTTGAGAGCAGCTGTCAACTAGATCGTGACGTAACTTGAAACTTTACAGTCGACTGTAAACAATAATAAGTGTAATCAGAAGAACCATTTCGCAGTCGTGTGCAAGGCTAAGATGCGGACACATCCTGTGAAACACAGAAACCCGGGGAAAGCAAAAGTTCATCATATTGATTATTTGATTGATTGTTTACTGTTTAACGTCCTTCTCCAGAATATTTCACTGATATGGAGACGTCACCATTGCCGGTGAAGGGCTGCAAATTTAGGCCTATGCTCGGCACTTACGCCTTATGAGCAGGGAAAATCTTTATCGTGCCACACCTGCTGTGACACGGGGCCTGGTTTATACGGTCTCATCCAAAGGACTGTCCCATTTAGTCGCCTTTTACGACAAGCAAGGGGGTACTGAGGACCTGTATTTTAACCCGGATCCCCACGGGGCCATCATATTGAAGAGAGCCGTGAAGACTCAGATGGTGACTTTTTCATGTATTCAATTGACACACACAAGGATGATGACTGGACAATGAAGCTTCTAGTCAATGACGCAAAATCTATTAACTTTAAAATTGATACTGGAGCACAGTGCAACGTCATGAGTTTAAAAGCATGCAAGTATGCCAACACTGACACTAAACAACTAATGCGTAGCAACAGTAAATTAGTTTCCTACTCTGGACATGCCGTGAAAGCCTGTGGAAAAGTACGTACATCAGTGAGACACAAGGACCAGTATTTTCTTCTAGAAATACAGATTGTTGATGATGACGTCCAACCTGTTCTTGGACTGAAGTCCAGCATTGACTTGAATTTAGTGAATTGTGTGTATACAGTGAAGAAGAATCAAAGTACTAAAAGTGCAGAAGGACTGTTGAAAGAATATGATCATTTATTTCATGGAATTGGATGTCTTCCAGGAAAATATGACATCAAGGTTGATTCCAGCATACCACCAGTAGTTGCGCCACCTCGGAGAATACCACATACTTCGAAGGACAAAGTTTTAGAAGAACTACAAAGGATGGAATCTATGAAGATTATCTCAAAAGTGGAAATCCCAACTCATTGGGTCAGCCCTATTGTAGTCGTCAAGAAACCAAATGGGAAAGTCAGGATTTGTTTGGATCCGCGAGAACTGAATAAGGCTATTTTAAGAGAACAGTCCACTTAAGACTGTCGAAGAAGTGGCTGCTAACCTTAAGCATGCGAAGCATTTCACAACTCTGGATGTCGCTTCAGGATTCTAACAAATACAGCTGACCGAGGAGAGTTCATGGCTCACCACATTTAATACACCCTTTGGAAGATTTAAGTTCTAGAGACTTCCGTTTGGAATATCGTCAGCGCCGGAAGTGTTTCAGAGGGCCATGTCTCATGTATTTGAAAAATCAGCCTTGTGAAGTGATTGCAGATGACATTTTGATGTGGGCAGATAGTGAACAGGAGCACTTGGAAAAACGGAGTCAAATACTGAAGAGAGCTGAGGATGTCGGATTACGCTTAAACAAGGACATGTGCAAAGTAAACAAATCAGAAGTTGAATATGTAGGACATGTTTTCAGTTCAGATGTTGTGAAGCCCAGTGGTGAAAAAATCAAAGCAATTCTAGCAATTCCAGCACCAGAAAACAAGAAGGAACTACATCGATTCATGGGAATGATCAATTACTTAGGAAAGTTTATTCCAAACTTGTCTACCAGGAATCAATTACTCAGACAGTTGCTAGAAATTGACGTCGCATGGCACTGGAATGGCGAACAAGAAAAAGCCTGTAATGATCTAAAGGGAGCAATAACGTCCACGCCGACATTGAAATATTTCGACGTTAATGAGGATGTCAAACTTTCCGTCGATGCCACGTCATATGGACTTGGTGCGTGCATCATGCAGAAGGAGCAACCTGTGGCTTATGCATCGAGAGCCCTGAATACACCTGAGAGAAACTAGGCACAAATCGAAAAAGAGATGCTTGGAATCGTGTATGGACTACAGAAATTCAATGAGTATGTGTATGGTAAAACAGTGTTAGTGGAAACAGACCACAAACCACTAGAGAGCCTGTTTAAAAAATCATTGTCGAGTGCACCTCCACGACTTCAACGCATGATGTTGAAAGTTCAGCAACATGACTTAGTGGTGAAATACAAAGCTGGCAAGGAACTCTACATTGCGGACACATTGTCGAGATCGACAGGATCAGATCCAGCTGAGGAGCAGGAGGAAACAGTATGAAGTTCATGTGATAGAGACTATTCCTGTGAGTCAGGAAAAGGTGATGTTATTTCAGAGTGAAACCAAAAAAGACCCTGTTCTCATGAAACTGAAGGACACAGTTCTACAGGGATGGCCAACAAACCGGAAGGATTTAGACAGCGAACTTAGTCCATACTGGAACTTTAGAGATGAGATAAGCATTGTTGATAGCTTATTGTTAAAAGGAGATCGTATCATTACACCAGAGCAACTTAGACCCCAGATGTTGAAAATCCTGCACAGCAGTCACCTGGGACAAGAAAAATGTATACAGCGAGCTAAATCAACATTGTTTTGGCCAGGAATAATCATGCAGTTGAAGAACATGACAGAACAGTGCAACATTTGCAACCGCTACAGAAATGCGCAGCAAAAGGAGCCAATGATACCACACGAGATCCCAAATCGTCCTTGGCAGAAAGTTGCAGCAAACATTATGTTTTTTGGGAATACAAGATACTTGATAACTGTTGACTACTTCTCAAAGTTATTAGAAGTCAACCGCTTACAAGATGGGAAAGCCGCCACCGTTATCAACATTCTGAAGCAACTTTTTGCTCGACTAGGAATCCCTGAAGAGTTCATTAGTGACAATGGACCGGAATTCGCAAACCATGAATTCAAAAACTTTTCGAAGGAATATGACTTCCGTCATATTACATCTTCGCCGAGATATCCACAGAGCAACGGTATGGCTAAAGAGCTGTACAGATCATCAAAAACCTGTTTAGGAAAGCACAGAATGACCACAAGGATCCGTATATTGCGCTTATGGAGTTGAGGAATTCAGAAATACCAGGAGTGAAACTTTCACCAGCACAGCTTCTATTTGGACGAACCACAAGGACGCTCGTACCAACCGTCAAATCCAAATTGCGACCAATGGGATTTAACTCGGAACTTGTTCGAGAGGAACTCCAGAACATTAAAGATGCATAAAAGTCTCTTTACGATCGCAACTCAAAACCTCTTAAACCACTAGACAACGGAGATGTAGTACGTGTTAGGAATACAGGACAGTCTATCAAAACACTAGGAAGAATCGTTAGACCTGCAGAAACACCGAGATCGTATTTCGTACAACAAGGGAATACCACCGTGAGGAGGAACCGCCGAGACCTTATCAAAACGAAAGAACTGAACACAGAACAACCAGTAGATACCGAAGAGTCTGTTAACGGTCACTGTGATTCGTTTTGTGATAACTCTAACCGTGTCAATGGTCCGTCTATCAATTCTGGAGACGAAAAAACTAGTGTTACCACATCGAGTGGTCGGGTCATCAAAGCACCTCGCAGGCTGGTGACGGAGTCTTAATTCAAACAGTTAAAGTGAATTTCTGAATCTGATGTGTACATTCATTGTTCAGTTTTGTAGTTCAGTTTTGTTAGTTGTAGTTAAACAAAAAAAAGTAAGAATATTGAGAGCTGTTTTATTATAATGATAAAATGCAATTTTAACAAACATTTTGCAGTTAACTTAAAAGGGGAGATGTGACATTATCTGTATCTAAGAACAGTTACTCTTATACTGGTGTTATTTGTAAATGTTAAAATATAGAGTTATCTTCCTTGTTATTCATGATGATGCTGCACGTGTTGTAATAAACTAGTTCTCATCTTGAGTCTGTTTGTGCTACAATGCCCTTCTTCAAAGAAAGGAGGACATATTGCTTTACCTGACACCTAAACGAAATGAAAAACGTAGTGGCGGGGCCTGTCTATCCAATGCTATATGACCTGAAAAGGCATAAACGCGCTAGGCAAAAAGAAGAAAATTCATAAACTACTCCTACTGTGAGATCAATGTGGAAAGATATACACATCACAAGGACTGAAATGCATCAAAAAGATCTTCAGCAATTCCGATTTTGTTCCGTATGCAAAGCCAATTTTAAATGAGTAAAAACTGTCCAATATAAACAAGCATTGATCGAACACAAGAAGACTCAGCTTCCCAAACAAAGTCAGGCAATTAATATTCTATGCAATATCAGTGGCGAACTATCTTGCAGGAATGCTCTTCGTGAGAGCTGTACACAACGTAAATTTTTCTCCATGTGAGGCCGGGAAGACATATTCTTGGAGGTCCAGTGATCATTACCATGTAAAAGGATGCAAAAACTGCTTAATAAGTTATCAACTCTCCTTAGTTTAGTTGACAAGTACCTGCTTTAAGCAAACGAGTTATTATGAACATCATATTAGTATAACAAAAATGGCAATGAAAGACCTGGGACACACTTGAACGTTTTTATACCCCGCTCCGAAGGTGAGGGGGGTATACTGTTTTACCCCTCTGTCCGTCTGTCTGTCCGTAACTAATTTTTGGTCGCAGTTCTCATCAACTACTCATTGCAGATTTTTGAAATTTTAGCATTTTTTGCTGAGGCATGCCATTTGGTGGGATTCATTTTTGTTCAAATCGAATGTCATCTTTCTGTTTTTCGTGCGTCTGTCCGTACCATAGATAATAAATTTTCGTTTCAGTTTTCTCAGCAACTACTCGTTGCAGATGCTTGAAATTTTAGCACATACTTTGTTAAGGCATGCCGTGTAGATGGATTCATTTTAAACAAGTTGGATTTCAACTTCCTGTTTATCCGTGCGTTGTCTGAACCATACATGACAGCAACAGCTAGCAAGCATTCTCAAAGAGAAACTGCTAGTTTCCTAGGAATGAAAGATTATATTCAATTGAATACAACCTCCGTGCGAAATGGCATTGTAAAATTCAATGTCCAGGAGAGGATTCCATCTGCAACTGGGTGCAATACAGGCATAATTTTTTTTTGTTCAAGCCACTGCTGCTTCAACTCTACTCTGAAGAAAAGGATTTTCATGTAAGAGTTGTTTACTGCAAACTTCAGTGGTGTGGATATGGAGTAGAACTTGCACAAAGAGTCTTAAGTCCAGCCTTTAGATCAACGTGTGCAGGCGCTAATGATTTACCACGAGTAAAATATCATGTCCAGCAGCCACACGATGTAAATATATTCACATAATTCATACAAGAATATGTATACCAGTATATAATCATTAACAATTATTACAATTGTAGATTTCAAATACTACAGAATATAATCAATTTTTTAAATTCATATGATTAATACCCTTAATATTTTCAGCTTTAATACATCAATAGGTAACAGACTGTCCAACAGCGATTTACCTATCAGACTTGTGATCTCAACCATTGCATTAGGAATGGGTTATGATCTTCGACACATCAAAAGGATCATACATGCAGGCCCTCCCAGTTCACTTGAAGATACAAGATTTTTATACATGAAATATAAGGATCATGATATTGTCATTAAAACAAACACAGACGTCAAATTCAAATTAATTTTATGCTGTAAATAAAATATGTGATTACATGTATTATAATTAAATCATAAATAAATCAACACAGAAATATTTTCATTTATATGCATTAACAGTTTACAAACAAGAAGTTGGTTGTGCTGGGAGGGATGGCTCAAGGGCAGATCCTCTGTTATAATGGAACAAATCTTGACATATTGACAAATCGGTAAAAGACAGAAAATCCTGTAGGAGAACATCCATTTCTAGGTATTTTGATACACAAGTGTCAGTTCCGGACAATAATAGCTGTGATATTTCCTGTTCACACAAGTCCTGGGTATCGTTTCGCAAAAGCATCGTTAATTGTACTTAGTACTTAAGGTAAAGATCCATACCATCCTATAGATATAACGGAGCTACAGATTTTGTTGAAACTTTTCAGAATCTTAACTGAGTATTTGTCCTTTCCAGATCAGTGTAAATTTTGGGGTCAACCGGGCCTCCTTTTGAAATGATTGTTACTAAAAATAGACATTGTCTCGTGAAATGACGGAAATGCAGTTATTAAAATATTTATTCTAGCTTTCTAAAATTAAAAGCAAAAGACTTTTTTAAACATATGAATTATAGAGAAAATATGCTTGTTCAAATGTTTAATTATTTTTTAATCTGCTGATCCACCTAATATTACTTTCTAGGGCGAATTAAACATATTTAGCTCAAAATTATAAAGTTCATTACTAGTAAAAATAAATTGCTGCTTGATATTCTGACTACAGATTTCTTTTTAAAATTAACACGTTATTTTCCAATGTTCTCTCCCTTATATGGCATAAAAATTAAGTGGGGCAGTGTGGCATCAAACAAGAAAATTTCACATTTTTAAACCAAATTTGCTGAAAAATGATAATTTGAAAAATCTTTTTAACATCTATACTTTTAGGATTTGGGTGTAAAAATCGCTTTAAATATTTGAAACTATCGATAATGGAACAGTAATAAGTATGGTTTAAATCATAAGTTGAATATTTAATGCATAGACGGCCAAAAATTCGTTTTCACAATTCACAAGCATAATAGTAATCGGGTTCAATCTTCGGAATATTCTATAAACCGTTAATGCGCATGTGTGACGTTGTGACGGAAGTGAAAGAAGAAAATACTTTCAGTTTCAACATGGGTAGTTTGGATGCGATTTAGTTGATTAAAAATTTAGAGAAGTGGCACGTTTTACTACTTTTTGTGTCTATGTAATACATTTCTCGCTATAGATACAAATAAGTGGTTTGTTTGCCACATCTTTTTAACGTCTGGTTTCTGATCTCAGGAAATGCTCGGACCTGTCCAAGTAAGGTTCAACGTTGTTTATCATGTTTTTATTCATATACCATATAAAATAGATCAAATTAATGTACGCGGAGATGAATATGTTCAGTGTTTCCACTTTGTAATGTTTGTTTGTTTAAAACACCGTGCTTACAGGCGATCATATCCTTGGAAGGCAGAGATGGCCCTTCTTAAGCAGGTAAAATTAACAGTCCAAAGATTATTTCTACCTATGTAGGTATTAATAGCTACCTAGGTATTTAAAGCTACCAAAAGTAGCTATTTTTACCTACTTTATATAATATCTGCATTTTGCGACCAAAAGACCAAACGGCGCAACATGGTGAACACCATATTTTTTGATACGGTTACACAAATGATAAATACGACAAAATTTTGGCCAAAAAATGATTATTTCCTGAATCGGCAATTGCACATTAGTTTCTATGCAAAACCGACAATATACGAAGTTTTCATTTTTTGGCCAAATTTTTGTCATATTCATCATCAGTGTGACTGTATCAAGAAATTTTGTGCTCACCATGTTGCGCCGTTCCTGCATTTGACCACAGAATGCAAGTAAAGCAGAAAGTAGGTAAAAATAGCTACTTTGGGTAGCTTTAAATACCTAGGTAGCTATTAGTACCTACGTAGGTAGAAATAGTCTTTGGACTGGACCTGTTAAGCTAGGGACACTCTAGCACTGAATGATCGAGGTTTTCCGTACATTACTCAAATTCGTTAAATAAATTCAAGCTCCATAGTTGATGACTAGAATTGCATTGAGGGCATCATTACTAAACCTATGTCATTTAATTGGTAAAATGTGAAGTAATTTATTTATTTTTAAAATCAATTAGGTTTTATTAATATATGAAAGAGTTCATAATTAAAAGGGTTAAGTAAGTCAAACAATAAAAAAAAATAGTTGTTTTATGTACTCTGACCGAGCTGTCAAAATCACCCTAACACAATAATTTTTATCAGCACTTATATTTTTTTTCTTTTTCCATAGTATAATTTCTATAGGATGCTTTTTGATTGAAATTTTCATGGCGGTTCTAGTGGTGAGTGTGTGTGTTCCCATGGACATTGCAGAATTATTAAATGTACATACTTAACCTAGCAGTACAATTATTCTCTGCCATCCTTGGACTTTTAGTATTCTCGGCACTAGTGTCTTTCAAATGGCAAATAAATTTTCATTGGTTAAAAAATTAATAACATCACGTACTTTTAATCATTGTTGACAATCATTAGACAACTTACCAGTAATCTTACTTTCTTATATGTCCTGAATTTCTATCCCGGCCACATATATGAATGAAAGCTGTGTAAATTTTAGAGGCTAAATACATAACATCAAGAATATCCTGCCTTACTGAAAGTCCTAAGATAACAGTGAATTTTACTAAAAGTGACCTTGGATGGCAGGACCCCTCCTTGGAAAAACTATCTATGCAAAATTGGTATGAAAAGTCATTGGTATGATGCTTTACAAGTCAACAACTCCCTGAGTAAATAGAAGGTTCTATGTTAAAGTGATATTTTGATATGGATCCAGTAAGCATTTGTTCCATGAGTTTTGACACAGATTCTCGAACCTGAAATTGTCTGAGCTGATGAACATCATTACAGGTACTGAATATTTAATTTGTATGTATACTTGTATATTAAAAGTAC